TGATTTCACCAAATTCAATCTGCAGCCTTGGGAGGAAGCTTGTCTTATTGAGGAAGTATTGATGTATGATGAAGTTTCACCTCTGGTAAAAGCATCTGTGCGTTCGCGACCGATGTTACTTTCACAGCTGCATCTGTTCGGCACCAAGGACGCCGGCTGACCGCCAACACATGGCTCAGAGGAACGGGCAACGTCTGCTGGCGCATCGCGAGGCACAGCTGTAGACCGTCAGACCTCATCTAGAAGAAAAGTTGCCTGGACGGCACTTAAAGGGATAGTTCACCCAAAAATGAAAATTCTGTCGTTAATTACTCCCCCTTATATCGTTCCAAACCCGTAAGACCTTCGTTCATCTTCGGAACACAAAATATTTTTGATGAATACAGAGAGCTCTCTGACCCTGCCATAGACAGCAAAGATCCTACCATGATCAAGGTCCAGAAACGTAGTAAGGACATCGTTAAAATAATTTGTTTTAAAATAATAATGACTAATGACTGATAATAATGTTAAAATAATAATGACTTTATTCGACAATTCCTCTCACCCTGGCGCCATTTTGGAGAATATAACGACGTATGCGCGTGCTTTGATCTGAACTTAACACCGTAAGCGTGTGGTGCTGCTGACACAAAACAGAATACGTTGTTTACGTTTAGATCAAAGCACGCGCATATGTCGTTATACTCTCCAAAATGGCGTCAGGGTGAGAGGAATTGTCAAATAAAGTCATTATTTTTGTTTTCTTTGTGCACAAAAACTATTCTCGTAGCTTCGAAAAATTACGGTTGAACCACTAATGTCACATGGATTATTTTATCGATGTCCTTACTACCGTTCTGTGCTTTGATCTTGTAAAGATCCTTGCTGTCTATGCAGGGTCTGAGAGCTCTCGAATTTCATCAAAAATATCTTAATTTGTGTTCCGAAGATGAACGAAGGTGTGAGTGAGTGACATGAGGGTGAGTAATTAATAACAGAATTTTCATTTTTGGGTGAACTATCCCTTTAAGGGAATTCATGAAAAGCCAAAAGCTATTGGTTCCTGTCGTCACTTCAAAGACGCCTACAACTTTTCCGCTATCCTGACTCCCCGTGGAGTGTTTCTCCTAACCGTACTGTCGTTAGCATCGTTTGTCTTTGTTCCTTGTCGCGCTCCAAGGTTGTCAAGTGGGTGTGGATGGACGGATACCTTTTTCAGGATCATAAAGTCAAGTGGCAATTCTGAGCCTCTTCAGTCAGTTCCCCACGCAACACATTCACGTCTGTGAACAAATCACAACAATTTGTGTTAAACAAACACCTCTGCATCTAAACTGACATTTTGTCGTACGATTCAAAACAAATCATTATATGTATTTGTTACAGATATATAGAGTCTAGAGTATGCATGTCTCAAATAAGCCACCAGCACCACGTGTTCACACCACAGAAAAAATAAAAATAAAAAAAATAAAAAAATACGTGGCTGGGAAAATGTGCACAGCTCACTAAATGTTCACATAACAGATCGGCCTGTCAACCTGCAACAAGCAACAATATTGTTTCAGTTTTCTCACTAGTCACTAGACATTAAAGAAACCACATTTAGTGTGTTAACATCAAAGTTTGCATAAAAAAATTAAATACAAAAAAAATTTAATAAATGAATGAATGAATAAATAAATAAGGAGAGAAGAACAAAAATACTACTAAAGGTGCAGAAAGAAAAAAAGAAACACTACAAAACAATAATTTGCAATATACTGTATGTGCTCATCATAGCTCTATTATTCAGGGGGTTTTTTGCTTTAAAGGATAACATAACATAACATAATATATGAGAAAATGCCAAGACAGTCAAAAGATCAAAACATTTCTCATTACATAAATTTATATAAAAAATTTACCAGCTACAACAGAGAGTGAGACTTCTCACGTTTTACAGAGGGGGAAAAAAAAGAAAAAGAAAAGAAAAGAAGTGTCTGAATAATAGTGTCTTGGAACAACATACAGCAACAATAACATTAAAAAGAATAAAAAATTAAGGAAGGGAGTAAAGATTGGATGTCTGATCTTAAAGTATGTATTTTCTACTGCATCAAAAGCAGGAACTCTGTAAATGTAGTACTAAAAGCCAGCGGTAGCAGGAGATGCAGATAGCAGGCGAAATCCCTGCAGGGCTTCAGAGACAAGACATTCTCATGTTACACTACATTTGTTGAATTAATAACAGATAATTTAGCTGCAGGTGCAGGCACACACTGTGCTCCCCGCGTTAAACCCAGCATCCAGGGCTGCTTTCTTCTCTGATCTGAAATCAGTCTCCTCTCAACAGATCTGCCTTTGAACGCATCAGGTTTGCAGAACAAACTCCAGGATCAGAATAATAAAAGCGCTTCTACACAATATGCCACCGCTGGAAAACTGCACATCTGTGTGTCCTCAACAGGCATCTGTATTTTGGGTCCCTAGGCGAGTAGGTCTTATTTACTGACAGCTCTGTACTTTGCCCTACAGTGTCCCGACGACAACAAAATATGATATGATAGTGACCCAAAAATGAAAATTCTGTTATCCTTTGCTCTTCATGCCTTTAAAACCCATACAACTTTTTTGATGAACACTGAAGGAGTCTATCAATTTTTTTCTTCTGAACTTATAACTAAAGCAGATTATTGGAGTATGTTTTACAAGAAAATACTATTTCAGTCTTTCTATTTTAAAATTTCCCATTTAATTCAGTGTTGCTTGCCATTTCTTTGTAATTATTTGTGTAATTTACTAGCAATTTCTGAGTGAAAACAGTTTCTACACTTTTTTTCAGTGCATAACTTAAAAAAAAAAGACATGGATAAAAACATACACTGCCAAAAAAGTTTTTTTTTTTTCAAGTTGCAACTAAAAAAAAAAAAAAAACAGTTTTTCTATTTCGAACTTTTATGTTTACTTCTTGCTGTTTTTTTGTATTTTTTTTTTTTTTTGTGAAATTCAGTAGCAATTTCTGAATGAATATTTTATACACTGAAGTTTTAACTAAAAATTATTTGGAGTATGTTTCACAAGAAAACTTTTTACTTCACATTTAATTCAATATTTTACCTGCCATTTTTTAAATTTAATTATTTGTGAAATTCAAATTTTTGTACACCATATTTTTTCAGTGTGCAACTTTCAAAAAAAGACACAAAAAGACCAAAAAAAGTTACAAATAAATGTTTTTTTATTTTTTTATTCAATGTGTTTCTTGACATTTTTTTTTATTATTTGTGAAATTCAATAGCAATTACTGAGTGAAAATTGTTTCAAAATAAAAGTTCACAAAATATTTTCAGTGTATTAGCATCCCACAACAATGGCGTCAGAAATACAATTATTTGAAAAAAAAAAAAAACACCTGAAGGAGATATTTTGCAGAATGTGCTGGTTAAATGAAGTGAATGAAGGCTGTCTAGAGTTTACAAATAAATAAATAAATAAATGCCAAAAAATACTACTAAAGTAATTTCTTGTCCCCGAAGTTATAACTAAAGCAGATTATTGGTCTATGTTTTACAAGAATTCAAAAGCAATTACTGATTGAAAATTGTTTAAAAATAAAAGTTTACATAAAAAAAAAAAAAATGTTCTCAGTGTATTAGTATCCAAAAACAATGACTTCAAAAATGCAATTATTTGCAAAAAAAATCTAATAAATAAATGAATGAATGAATGAATGAATGAATGCAAAATTTTTGGCATACTATCCTTTTAAGGAAGTAAAAAGGGTCAATTTGTCAATTCCTGCTGTATCAGCACAAATTGCATTGTTTAGTACAATCCGTAATTTATGTCCAACCAAAGCTCACACAGTCATTCCCTCAATAACATTTGTCCTGATCAAATGTCGATCTGCATGAGTCAGAACGGCCTTTCTGAAGGAGGCAGCCTCGTGTTTGATGCTTCAGATATTGTGGGTCTAATCGCTGTGGTGTTTAATTTAACAAAGCGACAGAAAAGGCTGAGACAACTAAGGCGAGGGAGCAAATATATATATATATATTATTTTTCAAAGAAAATATTTGAAGTCCCCATGAAATCAGAAAATGTATTTATTTTTCTTTTTTTTTAGTATGAATATGCTAGCCTTAAGATTATCTATAAAGTTGGTGTGCTCCAAAACAATGACAAAAATGTGCATTCAGAAGATATAAGCATTCAAAACTTACAGATTCAGACAGTGTAAATATGCTTTCCATTGTGGCGAAATAAGTCACAATTTTCGTTTCAAGGCACTTCAGTGGATCTTTAACATGAATGCAAAATTTCATGTGTACAGTTACACTCTAAAAAATGCTGGGTTGTTTCAACCCAACTTTGGGTCACATATGGACTAAGCCAGCCATTTGGTTAAATCTTTACATTACATTTTTAACCCAAAAGTTGGGTTAGTCCATATTTGACCCAAAGTTGGTCTACCATTAAAAGAGATCTAAACAGTTTGAGCGTGTTTTCAAAAATATTTTACTCACTCACCAAACTTTTTTGTCATGTGTTGTTGATTTGCTCTGTTCTGCAAGCCCTACAAACTATTGAATCAGAAAATCTGCATAAATATTTCACAAAAACAATTCCACATGATACGAGCAATTTCACTGCTGATTACAGTCTGAAATTACGCTGGAGAAAACGGCGGAGCTTCACAAACTACAGCCATAACTAGTCTATTTCTGATGATTTCAGCACATAATTGTTCAAACAAAAATCAGAGTTGAGTACAAAAAGTTTATTTTGAATCAAAATATGCTGGAGCAAATGTTTGAGATGGTTGAACTATAATATATAATGACTAGCTTGAGAATTAAGACACATGGACTAATTGTAATTCAGTCCTGTTTGATCTCATCTATCTTCCTCTCCAACGAGACGGTTCTTACATCAGCTTGTGTATGTCACATTCAATCCCATCTTCAGACGGGGCTCGGTGCCTGATCTCCAATCAGCCAAAGTGTGTTCCTCACAACCTGTTCCTGTACACTCACCTGCCAAGTCTTCCACAGTGCCAGCAGTTTCTGGACATCTTCACGCTCGGTTTCTCTAGCTGGCTTCGCCCTGCGCACACAAAAGAGAAGAACAGCCACGTTACAATTACAAACCACTTAGATCCTGTCGCTTTCTCCGGCTCCAGATACTCAAAAAGGGAACCGCGGAAAGACAAAGCTTTTGTTTGCAAACCTATTAAACTAGAAGCCAACCTGTTTTCTACTGACTAACTTCAAGTGGTTCCAAATAATAGATGTGCTTAATATAAACATCAATGTGAGAAATCCCCACTTGGACTCGTTCATAATGACCGGCTAGAATAGTTCACAGTTTCCTGAGCAGAGGAGATGACTCAGACGCCACCGCTGCTAAACAAGCAGAAGCATTTCTGTTTGATCCTTATGTTTCTCATGTCTAAGTGGTTTTGGTAAGTGGATAGTGTGTGTTTTTTTTGTGTTTTTTTTTCTGTATAGTTTGCAAAGAGATATTTTGGGAAACAGAATATGCTGACCTGATGGTTAACGCTCATTTACAAATCAATCTATCTATCTATCTATCTATCTATCTATCTATCAAATCACCTTCAATTCTTAAAAATGTGTGCCCTTTTTGGAGCTCCTGAATAAAGACAATAATTTTAATTATAGTTACATAAATATAAATATATAATATACTACAGCCATCAATTAAAAAATAATAGAAAATACATGTTTTATTTGATTTTTTTTTAAATTTGAAAGAAAAATATTGATATTGGTGCAGAACTGCAGGCATACATTTACCAATAAAATACATTTTACTAAATATGTTACTCACTTTTTGACTCATTTTCACTAACTCTAACCAATTAACTGACTCACATTTTACTAACTACTACATTGGAAAATCATATCATAAATATGATACAAGCACAAAACAATGTTTTAATTTTTTTTTTTTTCAGTCCATGAAAAGCACCGTAAAAGTATGATTAAAAGGAGCAAAAAAAAGGAACTTAATAGTAAGACTTGGAATTTGCAGTCAGTCTCTGCTCCATTTTAATTCTTAAGCATTTATTTCTGCATGCTAATAATAAAAAAAAAAAACCGGCACATACCACATTTTGTTACCAAAATGTTAAAGGGGTCATATGATGCGATTTCAAGTTTTCCTTTCTCTTTGGAGTGCTACAAGCTGATTGTGCATAGATAAGATCCCTGAAGTTGCAAAGACTAAAGTCTCAAAACCAAAGAGATATTCTTTATCAAAGTTAAGACTCTGCCACGCCCCCCTAAAACGGCTCGTTCTAACACGCCCCCAACATATCTACCTCACTATGTGGAAATATTACCATAATGCCACCCAAATGTGCACAAGGAGGGGGCTTTGTAGAAAACGAAGCGTTTGAGAGAGGCGGGGCATAGAGGACCTACAATAATGTACAGTATTTGAAAAATAATGTGTTTTTTGAACATTAAAGCATGTCAACATATTCTGTTACACCAAATACACAAAATAATGATCTTTAAAAAAGCATCATATGACCCCTTTAATATCAATTCAAAATACCAAATGCTGATATTTCTCACGTGTCTCACAAACAAACATGTCAGACCAGTTTAAAAATTCTGATTCTCTTGAGCTTTTGTGCCTTTGATATGTTTGTCCAAAAAAATGACCAAATTTTATTTTCAGGCGAACTATGGCTTCTATTCAAGCTGGTAGTTTCCATCACTTTAAAATGGCCAGAAACCATAATTTTCATCAAATGTAATCACTCAAAATGAATTACTGTAGTTTTAGACCCAGCAGCAGTGCACGTTCAAACAAACTCAAACTGGCTGCATATCAGTATGATCAATATAATTATTATATTTAACATTCTTAGATCAATATAAATTCCAGGCAGTCGAGCGTGAGCATGAATCTGACCCCACACACACTGACAACCGCTATGACTATAATTATGCAAACAAATATCTTCTCCAAATATATGTGGGCTTTTTTCTGTCTAAATTGCAGTACAATATGTTCTCATCTGCACTAATGCTCTTCTCTTCCTGTCCCAGAAAGTGAGGAGGCGTGTCATGAGCTACACTAGATGCTTTTCAGGAAGTCTTATATAATACAGAGAGAGACTGAGACTAATAATATGGAGAGAAAGAGACACGTGATACACAAATGCGCACAAGCATTACAAGGCCTCGAGTTACACTGACTGAATCTCCCATGAGCGGTCTTCAGAGAGCGGTTCCTCATATTAATCAAACCAAAAGACAACCATTCATTGACCATCTAATGCAAATTAAACATAAAACCAGCAGGGACTTTCTCAAACCGGCAAGCTTTGATCTGATTGGATGGTATGATATCATATCTATGATCCAGGGTGCATTGGATTTTAGAAGTCTGACTGGAAATAAAGTTCTTCTTACAAGTTACCAGCAACTAAAATGAGATTTGAGATAATATTTCAGACTCTAAACTCTAAATGTTTCAATCAAACTATCTCTTTCTCTCTAAATAGGTGAGAGCTGCAAAACAGATCTGATTTTAGTCAGTTGGAGACTTTGATTTCATGCCTTTTTCCAATAACTGTCCAGATCCTCTAAGCAAACTGATGTGATACCATAAGCATGCATATAAACAAAGCTGCTTGAGTCTGTTTTTATGGGTAGCTCTTGTTGGTTGTGTTTGTTTGATCGACTCCGGACTTCAAATGTTCTTGCTGCTTTGATACTAAAAAAGTGAGTCCATAATCAAGCCCCTTAATGCTTAGACTCATCATTGCTATCATGAGCGCCACAGTCCAATCAGCAATCCCGCTCTCCGTTGACAGTGTTCTAGATCGACTTTTTACTTTTCCCACCTCATGTGAAGTAGCCACATTTCATCCAGGCAGGAGGAAAATATATGCTAGCTATAATTAGTATAGCTGACATACATACTCAAACGTGCATACATTAGACAAGGATGTTGCAGACAAAATTGAAACACCCAAATAGCCATATGATCAATTAAAAGCTATAATAGTAATTTACATCTTTTTTTAGGTTTTATTATAAATATTCATAAAATATTCATAAAACTGTACGACCTTCAGTGGATCTCAGGATTAAATATATTTTATTTATATATTAATATATATTTGAATTTATTATATAATTTATATATGATGCATATTATTGTTTTTATATGATATTATTTTAATATAATATAGTTTTTACTTTTTCACTACTACTATTTTAGTTTACAATTTTATTGTAGAGATATATACATTCAATATAGTAATTAAT